ACCCGCCGAGGGGGGCGGGGTCCCTGTGGTGGACGTAATGTGGTGATTGTGGGGCGCTCTGCAATAATGAAGAAAATAAATATTATAAATAAAGAAGAAATTATATGACAAATAAAAACAGATAGAAGCATGAAAACAATAAAGACAAAAAACACAGTTGTATTTGTGTTGTCTTACTCTCTTAAACATTTAAACTAAATCTGTTTTTTGTCTTTTGAACAACTGTAAACACTTTTTAAGAAAGTAATAAGGCTATAAAAGCAAGCGACACAACCGACTAAATAAGGTTAGTAAATGTGGTGACAAGAAATTTAATATCAGCGTATATTTTTAACAAAAAATCATTTATATCATATTAAGGACTAATATATATAAGTTCAGAAAATATATAAGATATCGTTATAGATTGATTTGATAATTTTATGAAAACATTAAATATAAAAACCTATACTTACATTGACTGTAAACCCCTTACTAATGTTCTCTGTGTATATTTGATGACAGGTCCAGACACCTTGTTTGATACAGCGTTCATGTTGTTTCTGGTAGTGCTCTGTTTAATCAGCGTTAATAAATGTGAATGATAACATTTTCTCTCTGTCGCTTTTATACAGTACTCTCTCGTGTGTCTATTAATAACCTGGAAGTTTGCTGCCTCCTCAGCTTTTCCGTATACTATAACATAAGTGGGCTGTCAATTACACACATAAAATTTCCATTCATTTGCATCTGTGATGTACTAGGTTTTCCACTAACTGCTATTCATAGATTATGACGTTTAATCGATAATTGGAGTTGTTTTGTTTTAAAAATGTGTGTGTTGAATGTAATAATAGTTTCGTATTGGAGAAAATAATTTAACAGAGGATCATTTCAAGGACTGTGGAGACTACACGTGCTCTTTCTCCAACTGTTTTGTTTTGCTTTTATCAATCTCGTGTTCATATATCACTAGCATGACGCGGCTGGTCGATACTTCCACCGAGATCTGCCCAAAAATAATTCATTTTCAATAAGATGTTCGACCCAAAAGTAAATAAAATTAACGCACTCTAGCCAGCAGGCCGATACTTATACAGAAAGTCAGACATGAATAATATTCAGGAGTTTCATGAATCAACAATAAGTGCATATCAACACATAAAGATGAAGACGTTGCTTTTCAAATTTTCACAATTTTAACTACAATATTAATAAAATGACTAGTGTTTTTATTTATTTTTCTCTTTTATTGTTGTCATCTTTACAATACATCTACAAAGTATATTTGTTAATACACAGACAAACCCATAGTCAATTAAATGATACAATATCTTACTTAATGCTAACACATCAGTACAAAATCCAAACTCATAGTCAATTCACAACTTCAATACATAACTCAATGCTGACTCATGAGTAAGAAAAGCAAAATCATCGTCGATTCGCAAATAAAATATCTAACTCAATGCAACACAAGTACAAAAAAACAAACTCAAATACAAATTCACTAACTC